GATGATTCTGAGGCTACCCTATCCCAGCCATATTATTCACATATCGAGTCCTAACAGCAACAGTGTAGGGATGAGCACGACAGTGCAAGTGAGCATGAAGGATGGACAATCTTCGGGGATTTTAGATTGAGAACACAACAAAACACTAACACTCAGGGATTTGGGAATAATCAGACACCTGCTAATATCGATGATCGTTTTTAGATCGAATCAATGAATTGTTAAAAGAATTCAATCAATGGCACCAGCGTGACCAAGAAGAACAATAACGTCGTCTATCATTTTATTTTTAGATCATATGTTACTAATTTTATGCTTTATTGTAGTCCATGTATGTTGATATACTTATTCCATGATAATTCTATGTTTATCCTTTTATGTGCTGTAAATTAAATGCTGAATGACGGTTCATGCAGGGAAAGAACATATCAATATTCGCATATTCATTCAAAAACATGAAAATTCTTAATGGAGTACCCTCATTTCGTATTGAATTCCTAAAAAACAATATTTATAATGAATTTTAATAATTTTTTCGGATTTTTTTTTAAGCTTTATTCTGACCGATTCACCCGATTCTCGATCCGGATCGCCGATTCGCGGATCCGAATAGGTTTTTTGGGAACCCGATCCGGGTCACCGATCCATTTTTTAAACCATTGGTTTTATCTATTCATTAACATGATCAAATTTTGAAGATGGTGCCTCTCATGAATTTATTTTATGATGTAAATAAGGGTGTGGTTTGCACGTGGCCAAGGCACCCAACAATAAAAATTAGGGCACCTTCAAATAGTATCGAAATATGTTGCTTCAATATAAAAAAACTTTATAATGACATGAAAATTTTCATCTCTAATTATAAATTTTAAAGTTAAAAAATAGGTAGATGGAGTAGATCTTTGAACACTTGAAAATCTTGAAAATTAACGGTCTAGATAATATATTACAAAATGCACTATTTTCAAGACTTGAAATCTATTTTTTCTCAAACCGAGTCTCGGCCAGCCGCCCTGGCCATGCCCCCATTTTTTAAATATTTTTTGCATTATTTTCTTTTTATTTTACCTGGCACGGCCCGGCCCAGTCCTCAGAGAAATATGGCCAGGCTAATGCTAAGGTTGGCCCGGCTCAAGAACAGCCTATGGCCAGCCTTTTCCAATACAAAGAAAAAAGTCTACATTTAAAAAATTGGGGTCAAACAAATGGCCCTAACGTAATTTAAAAAAAATATTTCATCATGTAACTATAGAACCATTGCATGCAATCACTCTCCTTCATGTAACCATAGTATAGATCGTCAATCCCTAGATTTTTTGGATCCAAAATCCATCATATAAATAGATGAGTCGGCTGATTCATAGAAACCTTATCCATTAAAATTTGTTGATATGCTCTTGTTAGGAACATGTTTGATTTATACCTAGCTTGTACCCTATTGTCTCTTTATCCCCAATGAAGACTCGCACTACGCATTACAAATAGAGGTAAATATCAACAAATTAAAAACATAGATTCAGTTTAAGGAAAGGGAGGTGGGGGAATGAGAGAGATCATGTATTTGAATTGGAAAAAATAATTAAAATGTGCTTAAAATTATTTCAACTATTTAAGAATTACCCATTTATACATGATTAGTCCTTCCTAGATTTTTTCAAGTCAAATAATGTAAAGGTAAATTGGTCAATAGTTATTCTCCTCCTAGGTGCTTTTTAATACATCTCCCCATTTAAGTTAGGAGAGGAAATTGATACGCATTATCCCCATTTTAAGTGGCACGTATAGCATGATCTTGCAGGAGTGTACTGTACAATAGCTCTATTGGGAACAATGGCTATTTGGAAAAAAACAATGTGAGTTCAAGTTTTGGGATCCATCTAAAAGTATCACTAGATGATTACTATCAAAGAAAATATTCGGATTATGACTGCTTGTAAATCTAGATTTTCCCTCTGATTATTGGACAGCTCCGGTGTAATTTTTGAAATGTCACTCTTTTTTAATATGTAGAGAGGGGTTTAATTTTTCTCTAATGTTGGTCCTTGGGTTTATTATATGGCCCAAATTGGAGATCTAGAAAATATTGAGAGCATTAATTTTGTCCAAGGGAATTTTGCTCAAGGGAATAGATGGACAGTATACTCCTATAATAGCAGGAAATCTTTTAGCAAAGTTTATGAGACATCATTCGAACTTCAAAGCTTCGGCGTTCGGAGTATTCCGTGGCCTTACTGCCAAATTTATATCTGGTCGGAGCTCTTCTCTTTCTGAATCCTTTAATTGCAATTATTTACCCTTGAACTCTCCCCTTCACAATTCACATATTCCCTGAAATCGAATGCTAGAGAGAGAGAGAGAGAGAGAGAGAGAGAGAGAGAATGGAGAACATGTGCTGAGTTGAATCTCTTTTCTCCAATTGATCGTAATGGCGATTGCAGGCGATGAATCGGGAAGCCATAGCCATAGGCAATCGGAGGGGGCCTTACATTACTTGGCCAAGTGCGTGCTCAAAGGAAGTGTCGTCCTTCAAGCTGTTCATGGCCATATGCGCTCCCCTTCCTCCTTTGATGTAATTTTTGGCAAGGTATTATATACTCTTTCTCGTCTTTCTCCATCTCTATCTGTCTTTCAATTCCCCCATCTCTCTCCCTCTCTCTTAATCATTTCTTTGTGTGTAATATTCATTTCAAAGTGTTATTTTATTTAAATATATTTCCTTCTTCAGGAAACATCAATCGAGTTGGTAGTGGTTAGCGAAGATGGGGTTGTACAGTCTGTTTGTGAACAGACAGTTTTTGGCACCATAAAAGACCTTGCTGTTCTTCGATGGAATGCGAACTGTCGTGCACCAATACTGCAGGTGTCTTTCGTGGAAAATGAAATGTTTTTTAACCACAATTCTGTTTAAAAGTTAGCTTTGATTGTCTAACATGAATTTTCTTTGTGTGTTGTTTTTGCTTAGTTTGTGTTTTTCTGTGAATGATATTCGGTCCAATGTGCTGTTTAATTTCTTTAATTAATGCAGACATACGGGAAAGATCTGTTAGTTGTTCTCTCTGATTCTGGGAAGCTTTCTTTCTTGTCATTCAGCATTGAGATGCACAGGTTCTGCCCATCTTCTTTTTTCTTTTTCTTTTTCCCATGGAATGTATAAATTTTGCCTCTCTTTGTCATAAAAAAATAATAGGAAGGAAGTAACGGGAAAGATAACAAGGAAGGGTAGATAAGAAAGAAAACACCAAAAAACAAGAAAAGAACAGCAAATTAGTATGAAATAATCTTCATTTTTTTTTTTTTTTGATAAATTCATTAAAGAACAGTGCATTTGTGCGAACTCTGTTACATTTGTTGTTTCTCTGAGATTGATGATCGATATAGACATCAGAACGGGCCATAAAATGTATTGGGTGTTATGTGATAGTAACTTCAATCCCTATAAGTAGTTCCACCAACACTAACGACTTCACTGGACCTACATAAACGCCATTCTTCATTATGCTACATTTACCCTTTGCTCCAAACTTTTTTGGCAATGGAAATAAAATGTTGGAACTGAGACCTTTTCAATGGATGCTTCTCAAAGCATCTGTTCGTCCACCAGTAGCTGAACTGAGACCTTTTCAATGGATGCTTCTCAAAGCAGCTGTTCGTCCACCAGTAGCTGTTATGATTCTGTACCATTATTTTAGTTGGGCTAAATCCTTCGTGGAAATCCTCCTCCGTCCATAGCCTTACTTAAAACCAGGAAAAGAAAGTCTTCAGACACTATGCTAAGGAGGAAACAGGGAAAGGTTTTACACTAAATTCAATAAATAGAGAAGCCATAACATGCATTTCTTTGGTGTTTTAACTTGGTCCTTATTTCCTCAGTCTGAGCAGTTCTAAACTATTTAATAACTATTAATTGTAGGTTCTTTCCAGTGGCCCATTCCCAACTTTCAGAACCAGGAAATTCAAGATATCAATTGGGAAGGATGCTGGCTGTTGATTCCCTGTAAGTTTCAAATGTACAAGAGGCTTTTTTAAGTAAATAATGTTAAAATTTCTTTGCCCAAATGGGTCTTTGTATTTATTTATTTTCAATGATAAATTAAATACAGCTGGTTGAGACATGCATTGGCGTATACTCCTTCTTGGGAATATGCTCACTTGAATATGCTGACTTATAGTTAATTACATATTCTAAACTTGTGCTCTGGATGTGATTATGCCTCTTGATATCAGTTAATTACATATTGTACTCTTGTGCTCTGGATGTGATTATGCCTCTTGATATCAATTCCTGGTGCTTGTTATTTGTCACCCTGCTGGGCTCACTGAACTTTTGTTATTCAATTGTGTTGATGTACCCCTTAGCATTATTATATGCATTATTTTATTTACTGGTCTTTTTGCATTAACGCAATATTTTATTGTTTGAACAATCATCTGAATCAAGGGAAATTTGCCATTCGGATGATCTCATGGTATCAGATTAGCCAGCATCTCTGGAGATGTTTGCAAGCATGAAGAGGCCAAACCATGTTACTGGACACTGGGGGCCAAACCACGTAACTGGTGATTTTCAAGAAGACCGTTTAGGGTTTATATTTTGACCTCATCTTTGGATTTTTCATATGAGGTACAGAAACAACTTCATGTGAACCAAGGATATTTTGTGTGTGGGAGGCTGGTTATAGATTGGGCTTTCTAAACTGATGAGTTAGTGGATACCTAGTAAAGATATGAATAGCATGGTACTTTATAATTTAAAACTAGAAAAATTTCTCATTATGTTCGTTGGCTTTTTTTGGTGTATATGATGAGGTGTTGGGTTTATGAGGGAGGCACATATTAAATGGGCTGGAAGCATAGACTTAATATGAAAAGAAAATAATCAAAAGAGGAAAATGTGAAATAAGTAAGGCATTTGCAATAAGCAAACTGAGGCTCTTTTAAGAAAATAATAAGAAAGGTAATGCACCCTACAAGAAAAAGAGATCTTGGATGCTCCTAAGATTACATCTTTACGTAACTTCTTCTGTTTAACAAGGATGGGTTTACATCGGATGTGGGATTAAAACTGCGCACTAACTTGTCTCAATCACAAGTTCTTATTGCATCTTTTCAGATATTAACTGCTCATGTTTGTGTGTGTAACAAGGATGGGTTTACATCATATGTGGGATTACTAACTTGACTCAATCACAAGTTCTTATTGCATCTTTTGAGATATTAACTGCTTGCGTTTTTGTGTGGCAAGATCGAACCATAACCTATTTTTTGATATAGAACTCATTCGTCTCTTTTATCAGTTGCCTCTTTCCACCATGACCTTTTTACAATTGGATGCCTATCTGATATTAAAACTTTTGATGGATGCCTATCTGCTAGTAAAACTTTAGGTGGATGAGATACTCAAAAATCCCATTGTTGTAAAGCCTGCATTCACTAATCTGTTTCTTTGGAAAGAATGATTGTATAAAAATGGCAATACTCTTCTTGGGGGTGACAAGAAAGAAAATATGCGGTATAATTTGACGCCAAAATCAATAACAATATGGATCCCTCCTTCGCTGCGGGCATAATATGGATGTGGATTGACTTTCTAGGGGACCAGTATGCTCCCAGTGTTGCCACGTGGGTCATATATTGACCAAGATTTTCATCTTGGTAAAACAACTTTGGAAGTGTACCATATTCTAGAAGATGGAACCCACAAGCAATTGCACAATTAGACTTTGGGGTCCGTTCAATTGTCGAATTTTGTCAAATGATTTTCTTTTTTTTACCTGTCATTGACCAATTTGCAATTTGATGAAGTGGTGTTCAATGATTTTGATTTAAATTGAAATTTCTTATCATGTGGTGCAATGGTGGTGGTGGTGTTAGTGTTGTGATGGTAGTTCTAGGCATTGGCGGTGGGGGCAGCATGATAGTGATGATGGTGGTGGAGTGGCGGTGGCGGTGGTGGTGGCGGTGGCAGTGGCGGCGGTGGTGGCGGTGGCAGTGGCGGTGGCGGTTGTGGCCAGGCTGTAGTGGTGGCAATGGTAGCAGTGCAATGGTGGTGGTGGTGTTGTTGTTAGTGGAGCGGCGATGGTGGTTGTGGAAGTGTGATCATGGTAGTGTGGTGGGGCAGTTGCTCTGTGTGTGTGTGCTTGTGCGCATAGGTGCCTGCCTGAGTGCGTTAGGGAGGGAGGGAGGGAAAACCAGCTGGAGTGGAGGGTGGAAAAACCACCTGGCGAGGTTTTGTCATGGATTGCAGCTGGGGCCCAAATTGCAATTGATTCCCAATTGCAATTTGGAAATCCAACATGCCTATAGGTCAAATTCTATTTGGCTGATTTGGAAATTTCGTCCTAATAACAATTTGGCCACAATTTGGTTGGAAACTAAATGGGCCCTTAAATATTGTTTTGGATGTTTCTTATTTGTGGATGCTAGTCTATCTCTGGGAGCTTATCTGTTTATTAAGGGGGAGCTTGGTCGTACAAAACTAAATTAGAAACATCAAAGTACTAAGTTCTTTTTGGCACTCAATGTTTTTACTGATTTTTGTGTGGCCTATGTGGTTTATGGTATTTAAGATTGATGTTAAGGGAGCTTATGATGTTCATAAGAACTGAAAGAGTCCAGTTTTATTTTCAAATTTCATGTTTTATAGTATATTAATATCAAAATTGTGCATGTTGCAGCTTGATGCAGCTTCATTTACTTGAAAATTCTCTCCTTAGAAGTTCTGTTTGTCTTACTCCTACATCTTATGGTCACCTGAGAGTGTGGTTCTTGTAGTAATATTATAATATTGCATTATTATAATACTATAATATTTTGTTTTTGTTTTTTCTCCGTTGACGAGGTTTAGCCGGGCTTTCAACCCACTGAAGATGACACGGGAACATATTACTGTTTAATAGGCTTATTGCTTTGACTGATATGCAATACTGCTTGAACCGGTTCCTTTGGTTTTTCTATGTAGGGGATTCCTATTTTCATTTGTTGATGCAGTATTCTATGATCCCTTCACATTCATTAATTGTTATTCTTGTGAGAAGTCCATTACATTATTTATGAGTCATTTCTATATAAGGCTCTGATTTTTGCAATATTTACAGTGGCTCTTTTGTTGCGGTTGCTGCATATGAAGGGCAGATTGCTTTGTTTTCTGTGTCAAAATCAGCTGGGAAGAAAATTGTTAATGAGGTTCAACAGTCTATCCATAGTTTATCTTTTGCATTACTATCTTCTATTGTTCGAAACCTGCACATAAGTGCTATTTGTGGATTATTCTGTAAATAATGCTTCTTAACCTTCTCTTCTGGGCAATGCTTTTAACTTTCGAGACTAAAAATTATATTGAACTGCCATTTTACTTGCTGTCTAGATCTGAAATCTATCCTTATATCTTTATTCCAGAAAGTTTTGTATCCACCAGAAGAGGGGGAACCGGAAATGGGAATGGAGTTGGAGAGATTGAATGTGTTTGGAGCGATCTGGAGCATGTGTTTCATCTCATATGATTCAGCACAATCTAGGGGATGCTACAGTCCTGTGCTGGCTGTGCTTCGGCATAGGCAAGTAAGCTTTATGTTTTGTTCTCTAAGATGGTGAAGGAATCTTGTGCCTTGGAACTGGATATTTCCTTACCTTATTATGTTGCTTGTCCTAAATGCATATGGAATCTGGAACAACCATGGGCCACTTGGTCATCATCACTTGTTGAAATTATGGAAAATGTTGTAGAGAGATTGGAGTATACCTTATTATGTTGCTTGTCCTAAATGCGTATTAGGAGACTATAAACCTTATGGAATCTGGAACAACCGTGGCCACTTGGTCATCATCGAAATTATGGAAAATGTTGTAGAGAGAGTGGAGCTCACTATCAGGGTCATGTAATGCTCTGGTGGACTCCATTCTCTCTTCGTCACCTTCCCTTTCAAAGGATTGTGAGTTGGGGATGGTTTTATGGTACACGGATTCCTCTGTTTGGGTCTTGTGCTCATGTTGGATATGAATCGACACAGATATTGACATGGATTCGTTTTGTTTATTGCACATTGAGTACATTTAGACTTTAATCATTATTTATTTTTGAGTGGACACCTTTGAACAATAGTTGTTGGAATCAGAAGCCATGGTTGGAGCATGGGATACATCCTAGAAACTCTCTAGGTTGGGAGCACATTCTGTGCAACTATTTAATTAATACACTAAATTTTTTAGAGAACTACAAATTCTATTCAAAATTAAAAAATCAACAATGCCACAAATACAGTAAAAATGGGCACAAAAAAGAGGCAATAAAAATCAACTATTTATTGAATATACTCTATTTAATTAAATAACCAATATTTCTAGATTCCTTTTGGGATGTAGTTTATGTAAAAATAATCCCGCAAATGCAATAAGAAAATATTATGATGAAGCACATCAGGATAACTGATTACATTAAAAGGTGCTTATTTTCTATTGACACAATGTGATTTATTTACAATTTCAAACTTTACAACCTCCGAAAGCATATCAAGCTGATTTATTTTGCAATTTTACACTTTACAACCTCCAAAAGCATGAGAGAGAGAGAGAGAGAGAGAGAGTATGATTGCAATTAAAATCCAAAATGCATCATTCTATTGGCTTCTTATTGCCCCTCAAACGGCTAGGAGCAAATGAATCATTTTATTGGCCTCTTATTGGCCCTTCAAGCGGCTATGAGCAATCCCTAAAAGTGGGGATCAAGATCCCAAAGTTTAAAAATTGGAATCCCATGGACCTATCCTAGAGGGTTAGAGCAAGGTCTCGGAGCATGAATGATACTTGGGTTGGGAGATCTCAATAACTATGATTTGAACTTCAAAAATGTGTATAAATTCAATCAGGAAGACCTGAAATATTATATTATCAAATGGGTGAGGTTTTCTATAAGCTGTCAACCTTATACTATTGAAGTAATGCGCACTTGAAAACTATGTTGAAAGAGCAGTTTCAGTGTTGAGAAGCTTTGCTATAACTTAAAAAACTGTTGTCACCCCCAATTATAAAATTCAAAACTTTTAAACTGATGCAGATCAAACATATCTATAAACACTCAATTTTTTTTGAAAATAGGCAGTCGAGATAATGTGTTACAAGATGCACTATTTACATGATTTAATTTTTTTTTTTTAGATTGAGATGATTAATTTGAGGGTTTTCTAGCATTGGAGGAACCTTTACTGATGGTTTCTTAAGGTGTGCCCTACTTTAATGGTATAAGGTGGACACCTTATATGAACTTTTTCCTTAGCAAATAATGCTGAATTTTATGTCATCTTTTTTGATATGGCATTATTGCTGAATATTGTTCTTCATGGAATGGGGAATCCAACCTCCTGATCCATGTTTGATACTTACACAAGTATCCGTGCCTGTGTAACATAGACAATGATCCAGTGGTCTATAGTTTTTCAATTGTCCATTGGATTATATTATAGTTCCCCGTTATAGCTTTTGTTTCTGTAACTCAATTTCTTTTCCTGACCTTTTTAAAACTTGGAACTTGGTAGCGCAGGAGGGGCCACTGCCACAACGAACTTCTGTTTCTTGAATTCAATATTAAGAAGCTTGAAGCGCATATCATATCTTGTTTCTCACAACATGCAGCTCTAGCTTTGAGCGTAGTGGATGTTCCTCACCTCCCTGGCTTTGCATTGTTGTTTAGGATGGGTGATGCTATCTTAGTGGATGCTAGAAATCCAGAACTTCCCCATTCTCTCCACAGGATAAATCTTACAATACTAACTGGAGTTACAGAGAGAAAAACAACTGATGAGTGTTCTGGAGCTCTTGAAGTTGACGATGAGAGAAGTTTCAATGTTGCTGCTAGTGCTTTATTGGAGTTGAGGGATTCTGCAATTGATGATGTTAAAGGAGAAGACCCCATGAGTATTGATGACGAAAGCAGCAAAATTCCCACTTGCTCCGGATTTATATGCTCATGGAGCTGGGAACCATGCAATTCGACAAACCCAAAGTTGATCTTCTCTTTGGATACTGGAGAATTATACATACTAGAAGTTAGTTACAATGATGAGCATGGTGTCAAAGTTAACTTTACGGACTGCCTTTACCAAAATCTGGCCTTCAAGACATTGCTATGGGTTAAGGGTGGATTTGTTGTGGCCCTTTTGGAGATTGGGGATGGATTAGTGATTAAGGTAGAGGATAGTGGATTAGTGTCTCGAAGCCCCATTCAGAATATTGCACCAATGTTAGATGTTGCAATAGTAGACTATCATAATGAGAAGCAGGATCAGATATTTGCTTGTTGTGGGGTGCACCCTGAAGGATCCCTAAGGATCATTCGAAATGGGGTGAGTGTAGAAAAGCTCTTGAGCACAGCCTCTGTCTATGAAGGTGTAACTGGCACATGGACCACACACATGTTTCAAGGTGATTCCTATCATTCTTTCCTTGTGCTATCATTTGTTGAGGAGACACGTGTGCTATCTGTGGGTTTAAGCTTCACTGATGTCACCGATGCAGTTGGCTTCCAAACTGACACTTGCACTTTGGGATGTGGACTTTTGGAAGATGGGGTTTTGGTACAAATATGTAGAAAGGGAGTGAGACTTTGTTCGCCAACAAAAGCTGCTCATCCTGAAGGTGTCCCTCTCTCTCACCCTGTTTGCACATCTTGGAGTCCAGAGAATTTGACAGTAAATTTGGGGGCAGTTGGTCATGGCTTGATAATTGTGGCCACCTCCAATCCTTGCTTCTTATATATGCTTTCAGCTAGGTCTTCTTCACCTTATTGTTACGAAATTTACGAGATTCAACGGCTGGGACTGCAGGCTGAAGTGTCCTGCATTTCAATTCCTCAAGAAGATGGACTTGAACATGTGACTACACCAGATTCTGTCATTGGTTCTGTAGATGAAGGCCAAATAGCTGGATTTCCCTCTGGTATTGAGATTGGTAAAACATGTGTTATTGGAACACATAAGCCTTCTGTTGAGCTTGTGTCTTTTGTTCCAAATGAAGGCTTCAGACTCCTTGCCATTGGAGCAATTTCACTAACAAATACAATGGGTAGTTCTATCAGTGGTTGCATACCCCAGGATGTTAGGCTTGTATATGTTGATCGCTATTATATTCTCTCAGGGTTAAGAAATGGAATGTTACTCCGGTTTGAGTGGCCTGTGATTTCCTCAACAAATCCATCAGAGCTACCCAATTTAAGCTCCTTGCTTCCTTGTACAGGCACATCTGATAGCCCTTTGTCAAAATCTACAGTGCCAATTTTTTATGAGCAATGTATTGGTGTTAATATGATGGAGAGGCCAGCTGAGAATTCCTTACCTATCCAGCTACAGTTGATTGCTGTACGTCGCATTGGCGTATCTCCTGTTATTCTGGTGCCTCTTTGTGAGTCTCTCCACGCAGATATAATTGCGTTGAGTGATAGGCCCTGGCTATTACAGACGGCAAGGCACAGTCAAAGGATTGCTTATACTTCGATTTCATTTCAACCTGCAACACATGCTACTCCTGTATGTCTGGATGATTGCCCCTCTGGTGTCTTGTTTGTTGCTGAAAACAGCCTACATTTGGTAAGTATTCTGGGCATGAATTTTTAATCATCTTGTGTTTCACCCCATTTGGCATCGTATAATTTGTTTCAAACTGCATATTTATTTCCAGAATGTTCATAGAAGGGTGGATAAAAGACAGAGTTATATTCAAACATTATCATGCATTTCGTTTCTTTCTTTTCTTTTTGAATTGTGATTTCAAGTTGTTCTTTTTTCTGCAATGGCTTGGACAGTTGGTTTTCATCAAATGCTTTGGACTGTTGTCAATTTGTAACATTTCACATTAATCTAGTTCCCAAATTGGTGGCCAAAACTTGTTGGAGGGTCATGTCTGTTCTTTGAGCCTGAATTTAACCATGGACACCCAGTTTTCTGTCGTTAAATGTTGGTGGCTCCCAATTTGTAGACTATAAAGGGAGGTTTTATTCTATTCCTCCTAGGAGGAATAAAGGCTATCGGTGTGGCACCCTGAATTGAGTTAAGAAATACGTTCTGTTGAGTTGTGCATTATGTTAGGGAACATTATTCATGTAAAACATTTTTGCAATTTGGATGACAGGTGGAAATGGTTCATACAAAGAGGCTGAATGTGCAGAAATTTGGCCTTGGAGGCACCCCAAGGAGGGTTCTATACCACAGTGAAAGCAGAACGCTGCAAGTATTGCGGACAGATTGCAATTATGGTTCTGGTATCAGTTCGGATATTTGTTGTGTGGATCCTCTAAGTGGCTCCGTACTTTCAGGATTTAAGTTTGACCCAGGCGAAACAGCAAAGTGCATGCAACTAATGAAACTGCGAAATGAACAAGTCTTAGTGGTCGGAACCAGCATTTCTTCAGGTCCTGCTATCATGCCTAATGGTGAAGCTGAAAGGTTATTTTCCTTCATGAATATTTCAAGGTTGCTTTTTGTATTTTGTGGTTTATCAATTTGTATCTTATTGATTTTTGGTAAGAGGACACCTGGTATTAGGAATTACATGTGCTATATATGACTGAAAGGACTTTTGAGCATGCATAATATATTCTAGGCATATAATGTATAGAAAATATTTTACATTATTTTTCCACTTCTATTGGGTTATATTTATTCTTGTAAGCCAATATTTTGCCACTGAAGATGCTGTCATATAATTATTATAGGTGGATACCATGTGCTTTCATTGTAGATTGATCATGGGTTAATGTCTGTTGACATTTTGGATCTCTCTCACTCTCTCTCTC